TGATACTAACACCCAAAAAACTTTAATTTTGATTTCATGGGGACTTTAATGATCTTTTTGGAGGAATGTCTCCTTTCATCTTCCATGTGAAAAAAAAATGAAAAGACATGAATGACATCAAATAAATAAAGTAAATTCAAAATACTGTTATGTATATATATTAGTATATATTAGAACTTTTTGTAGGTCACAGTATAATGACCTCACATGACACTGCCTCTTGATAACCGGCTCTTAAATACGTATTTAATATTGTAGCATGCAGTTCCACACCGGAAAGAATCGAGGGGCCCGTCTGCTCGTCATAAATTACATATGCACTGAATTCATTAGTCTGTGTACTGTTTTGTCTTGTGCCCTCAGCATTTTTCATCACAGACACGCAGCGATTCCAAGCCGGTGCCACAGACGTTGATTGAAGCCCCATCCAACTTCTCACCTGCAGCATTCTGCTCTCTGGATCTCACTCAAGGGTAATTGGGAACTCACATTGTGGGACCAGCTCTGCCTTTGTTCCCCTGCTCGGATGCACTGACCCGGATGTGTGAGGTCGCAGTCATGTTAATTGGCGCGGGGTGTTGCAGCTGCATGATTTTCCACGAGTCTGTGTGTGTGGAAATTGCTCATCGGAGTGAATAAATCTGTTTCCAGAGAACAGAGGAACACTATTAGAAACAAGCACATGCTGATTTAACACATTTAGGAGTATTTATGAGCAATTAGACTTTGATAGCGCCATCAATTCTATGTATGTTGTGTAAAAGCTTTCTCCGTCATCATCTCGGAGTGTATAGCACAAACCTCCGGGCCGTTCGAGGGCTCCCTCACCTGTCCATCTGTCATTAGTCTCTGTGGATCCGCAGTCAGCCGGCTCTGTTCTGGACAGGAATAGTACAGCTGTCCCGGCGGACTCTGGCCTGTCCCGCAGCACCTGTTCTGACCTCAGGGACAGTTGTCTCTGCATTTGTTTTTTTTGCCATGGCAAGGTGTCCTTGGCTCTGGGCTGCCCTGCTATACAGTAAAACATAATGATTTATGAGTTATCAAAGCTTTCAAAAAAACGATTTAAATATTTACTTTCATCAACACAAAATTGCATTCTAACCCATTATTTCCATAATGTTATGCATTTCTCTTTCACAGCAAATTCTACATCTACATCTGCAATTCTACAGAAACTGCATATCAGCGCCCCAGCAACCAGTATACTGCATAGCAACGCCCTAGTGCTGAGTTTTGCACAGACAATCACCACTTGTTTTTATTTAGTACAATTTAGTACGTCTTGTTGTAGTGCATGTGATTTTTTCTATAAAGCACATTATTTATGTGCCACTACTGTAACCACAAGCTATTTTAAAAGTTTAATATTTTTAACTGTGCAGTTATGCATTATATCCATATCCAACAAAATTAATAAAATCTTAAAATCTCATGGGCATGGCTTTAATAATCTTTAAAAAAGGAAGAAAGAAAAGAAAAAAAGAAGAAAAAAATCGACAGTAGTTTTATATATATATATATATATATATATATATAATTTTCCTAGTACAAATTACTTTCTATAAAATGGTTTTAAAATCCATTATCCAGTTATCACAAATGACTACAAAATTCATTATGACCCCAAAAGTCTGAAATCCTGGCATGGATTTGTCCAAGGAAGCCACCCCAAAAAAAAAAAAAAATAATAATAATAATAATAATAATAATTTCAGTTGAATTTTAATGATTCTGTTTATTTATTAAATAAAAAAATACACTACTATTCAAAAGTATAGGGTCAGAAAGATTTCTTTAAAAAAAATAAATGAACACTTTTATTCCGTTAGAATTAATTTGATCAAAAGTGACAATAAAGACTTTAATTGTTTTATAAAAAATTCTATTTCAAATAAATGTTGTTCTTTTGAACTTTCTATTCATCAAAGAATCCTGAAAAATGTATAACTGCTTCCATAAAAATATTAATCAGCACAGTTGTTTTCATCACTGATAATAATAAGAAATTATATGAGTAATGATATTGACTAGCTGCATCTCGGTCTGGTCTGGGGACTGTAAAGCCTCAGACTGGAGGTCTGTGCGGAGAGTGGTGAGGACAGCGGAAAAGATCAGCGGCTCTTCACTGCCTTCCATCCAGGACCTTGGACACAAGGTCCACAACATCCAGGACCTTGCACACAAATGCTTTCTGGCCTGTGCCCAAAATATTCTAAAGGACCCCACCCATCCTCACTATGGACTGTTTATGCTGCTGCCCTCTGGAAAAAGGTTTCGCAGCATTCGGGGCAGAACAGTAAGGTTCTGCAATAGCTTTTATCCACAAGCTATTAGACTTTTGAACTCAAAGTAACTTTTCTAAAAACTTTTCCTCAAGCGTGGGGCCCGGTGCGACCGCACCAGTTGCACCCCCCTAAGGACGGCCCTGTGTGCACTTATTAATTATTTATATGTTGCTGTTAAATTATTTTTAGTGTTATATTCTTAATTCATGTTTTTTATCTTATCTTATTTTATATTATATTTTTTAAATAGATTTTGTACAGTAGTACATGTTTTAGTTAGTGTAGTTTTTCTTTATGAGCCAGTGAAACGAAATTTTGTTCATATGTGCATCCTACATGTACAGTTGACTGACAATAAAGCTACCTACCTACGATGCTGAAAATTCAGCTTTGCATCACAGGAATAAATACATTTTAAAATACATTCAACTAGAAAACAGTTATTTTAAATTGTAGCAATATCTCATGTTTTTACTGTATTATTAATCAAATAAATGCAGCCTTGGTGACCATAATTGACTTATTTAAAAACATGAACATATTTTACTGACCACAAACTTTTGACTGGTAGGGAATTTGGTATATTTTTAAAGACACTATGTTGATATTCAGTAACCCAGTATTTATACAATCAAAATAAGTGTATTTTCAAATCTTATTTTGAATAAGACTGGTTAAATCAGTTGAGTCAGTTTATGTAACGCCTGTGCTTTCTATGTCTCTTACTACTCTTGTAGTCTAGTATGTACAGTACATCTCCTATAGGTCTCTGTTCACCCCTGCTTGACACCCTCCGGCTCACATTTGCCCCACTTCACAACACAATGCTGTTGTTAATGGGACTCTTACCAGTAATTCAGCTTTTACCTCGGAAAGTAGGTTTTGCGCTGCCTAGCGTTGTTAGTCCCTCCCTTGTGACATTTGCAGCAGAATGCCAAACAGAGACAGGAATGGTATGTTCGACACTGACCCGTCCATGACCCCTACCCCATTTTGCAATCGCCCCGCTGGGCGTGTCGTGTTGGGATGGTTGCGTATGTTGCTGGTGTGCGTGTACACTATTGCATAGTGTTGCAGGAGATTTAAAGCATGAACTCTCAATGCATCTACCTGCATGCAAGCCCA